CTACCAGAAGAATATGCAATAAGTTTTTTAGAGACAAGCCATTCCACCTGTTCCTCCAACGTTAGATTACTGGCAAAAAAAGTTTCTTTAAATAATGCAGAAAGTTGTTGAAAATTTTCACACAATCCACTGCATACAGCCTTTAAATGAACATTTATTAAATACATATAAAATACAGTTTAAAATATTAATTAAATCTAATGATTAATTACTGCTACTGCAGTGATTGTCATTATGGTTAATTCGACTAAATTACCTCAACAATAAGTTTTAAACGTGAACGTTTCTCAGACTTTTTGAATCCATCAACAAATGTTTCAGCCAAAATTTGTTGTACAAATGTCAACTGTTTTTTTTGACATATTAATACACTTTCACCTAAAAAGAAAAAAAAGAGTTTAAAAGTAACAATGATCAAAATTTTGGATTAAAATTAATTTTTTCCCTCATTTTTTTTTTTCATCAATACACAAAATATGATTAATCAATTACTGAAAATTTTTAAGTATTTGTCCAAACAATAACAACGAAAAAAAAATGGAAGAAAAACATCAACAAAATTAAGTATTTTATTTTATTTTTTGTTGCTGTTACTGCTGCTTACTGCTTTTTTTTTTGTCAGTTTTCGTTGCTGTTATCATCGTTACAGCTGTTAGGCCAAAAATAGCTAAGCTGGGGTGACAAAAGTAACAAAAACAAATTTTGCAAAAAAATTTGCTTTTCTTATTTTTTTTCCTGTTAACTCTATTTTCTACTTTTTATATGTTAAAACGACAAAAAAAAAAAACATGTCGAAAGCTGCCTGCAGTGTAAAAAGAAATGAAAGATGTGAGATGCATATGGATTGTCATCGGATACTTTACAACCAATTAAAGGTTATTAGTGGAAAAACAACAAAGGCGACAACAACGGCACCAAACACAGCAGCAGCAATACGATCCATCCCGTGCAGCCCTTTTTATAGTTATCTTCCTAATGATCATCATCACCACCATCACCACCACCACCACCATCATCACCATCGTCATCATCATTATCATCAAGCAACGTTCTTCTTCCTAGTTCCTTCCATTTTGCTTTTTACTCAGTTAATCGATTACACTCTCCCATTTTTGTCTTCCTTTCTTTTTTTTTTTTTATCATTTTCAATTTCAAAAATATATATAGTAAAAAAAAAAAAGAACCTCCGTTAAAACTGACAAAATAAAAATTTGTTTCCTTTCAAATTAATGCAAAAATGAAATATATATATATATATATATATATA